GGGCCCCCCCCCCCCCCAAAAAAAAAATAAAAAAAAGTGGCGACACAAAATCTTCCCAAAATGTTTTTTTTGGGGGGGGGGGGGGGGCGCCCCCCCCCCCCCCTCCCCCAAGAGGGGCGCCAGTTTGTTCCCCCTACCCCCCCCTTCACTTTAAAAGTAATGGAGGCCCCCCCCCCCAGCACGAAGAAGAAGGTTTTTTTTGGGGGGGGGGGTAGGGCCCCCCCCCCCCAAAAAAAACGTTTTGTTGTGGGGGGGTTCCCCCCCCCCCCCCCCCCAGCAGCAGCGCTCTGCTGCTGGGGGGTGCTGGCATCTCTGTACAAGACAGCAGTTGTAAGTAAGTACGGTTAGCGTTCCAGTGGCGAGAATTTATGGTCGACAAAACCAGTGGTCTCACCGGCGTACCCTCCTACTGCCAGCCGGGCGCGGGGCACGCCAGTCTCTTTTCTTCTCCTCTCGTGCCTCGCGGCGCCTCTGCTTCAAGGAGGGAAGATATTGCTCTCGCAGCCCATACGGCGTGGCACAGCGGAGAGTACAGCGGGCTGTACAAGTTGCTCCATATCTTCGCATGCTCGTCGTTGGTGATATCCGCGCGAGGTCACACGCCACAGGCCAGCAATCACCCGAGTGAGTGGCTCACTATACGGCTTTTAGTGTGTGGTAGTACAAGATAGACTCAGCACTCACATGGTCACATCTTACAAACGCCAGCACTCGACACGACGAAGGTGTATTGGGCTCGAAGGCGCGGTGAACACAACCGACTGCCTCGAGCGTACCGCTAAAACAACACGAGCCGAGGTGGTCGGGACCCCCCCCCCCCCAAACTCTAGCAGCAGGGATGACTTTAGATGTGCAGGGGGGGTAGCGAGAGCAATGTGCGCCCCCCCCCACCCCCCACCCCCACCGCCCACCTAGGGCATGACCTAGGGAACGCAAACGTTGTGACCATGGGGTTGTGTGACGCGTTTAATCTTTAAAGCCGTACGTGTGAAGGCAAAAAACTCAAAAGAGCTGAAACCATCACAAGTTAAAGCTCGTCGCGATCGTTGTGCGAGTGCATGGGAGTCTCGCCGAGGAGTCGTGGGTCGACGGGCTGCCTGGTGACGCGCCACGTGAGGGCGTACGCCACGAGGCAGCCGTCATCGAGGTGTTGCTGCTCCGTCGACGTGATGCACCACACCCAAAACAGTGGCTGCCCCCCGTCCATCCAAAATGATCCATCGGTGAGCACGCCACCGAGCCCGACTTGCAGGAGCATTGCGGGGTTGGTGCCGGCGAAAAAGTCGCCTATGGCAGACGTGCCAACAGAGGGTCTGCGCTCGCAGGGGCCGATTTTTTTAATCTCGACCTGACGCGCCCGTCTTCATGTGAGACTCGACTATCTCGGCCTCCGAATAGATTTCGCGGCCGCGTGCGTCGCTTCGGCGCGCGAGGTCTGAGACATGCGCCACCACGCCCCCCGGTCTCGTCAGGCTGGCGAGAACCTACGGGAATAGTACCAAGTGGCACTCGAGGGAGGAAGCCAGGGGTCGTCCACTGCATGAAAGCAACTCTCCAGCATGTATGGCATCGCCCTCGCGGACCGCAGCTTACCTCTTACCTAAAATCCTTAGGGGGCCGGCTCTGGCCTGAGTGCCGGCCGGAGCTAAGAAACCACGGCGTGGGGTGGATGAGGGCTGTGGAAAGGCTTAGAAACGGCGGCGTGCCGCCGAATCCTGTTTTCTTAATGCCCGCAACCCACTCTAACACAATTCAATACCGCATCGTCGTTTGGCTTTTGCGTTTTGGTCGGCACGTCCTGGCTGGCCACACAGCTCAGCGTGTGCATGCGGCTCGTCCTCACACTGTCGTGTTCTCTATCTCACGCTTTTGGTGGGCCTAATTATGACGCATCGCCGCCTCTCACTTCGCCGCTATGTCTGTCCTTCTGCGCACAAAAAACATATCCCTGGGCGTTGCGGTGCCGATGGGACGGTTGCGGCGGCTGCTCTGAATGTGCGGCTTCCCCAATGCCGCCGCGGCCAATCTCATCATCGCCACAGCTGCTCCCATGCAACGGCTTCTGCGCCACTAAAACGAGCCCGTGGAAGGTGCGATGCGGATGGGGCGGCTGCAGGGGCTGCTCTGAATGCGTGCAGCCGCTCTCATCGCCACAGTTGCTCCCATGCAACGACTTCTGCGCCACTAAAACGAGCCCGTGGGTGGTGCGATGCGGATGGGGCGGCTGCAGAGGCTGTTCCGAGTGCTCCGTCGATCCAGCGCCACGCGTATCTCTGGCGCGACGCGCCTGCACTGACACTGATTTGCGTTGCCCATCGGCAAGTGCTACGGTCCTTGACTTTTCCCAAGCGACTCTGGCACACAACAACCTCGGCGGCGCGGGCCCAGACGCAGCCAGTGATACCAGCATGTACATTGAATCTGTCGGAAAAGGGCCGGACGGCGCAGTCTTTGACTTGAGAATCACGGCACTCAGCGACTACGTCCCGCACAGCAGCCAGCGCAACAAGATCAATGGTGCATTCCCGCAGATCAATCTCGACGCCAACCAAAGCGTGGACCTCCTTTTCGACTTCTTGGACCCTTCGAGCGGTTCGGCCGTCGTGCTGCGAAAATTTTACATCACCTTCTACGACTTCGACAAGGCGAGGAAAGAAGACAAGGGCGTGGAGTCGCTCACGGTGAGTGGGATGGCCAGGTATGAGCTCGACCACCTAACGCAGCTCGCTGTCAGTGGCACCGAGGGCAGCCTCACGTTCTCCGCTGTTCAACATGGGGGTCTGTCCAATAATCCGACGGATCCAGCGCGCCTAACCGATGAGCAGCGCACGCGCGTGGTGTCGCTCTCTTACCGAAACACATCTAGAGTGACCTTCACCTACTCGATCTCGACGGGCACTGGCGGCCGGAACTTGATCTTTGCAGGCGTCAACCCGCTCCTGCTCCCCCCTTCGCACCCTTGCTGCCTCTTCTCAGCAGCACCACCACCCGTGATGCGCTTTCCACCGCCGCCTTCTCCTTCACCGTGGCCATCTGCTCCGCTGCCGCCGCAGTCCCCCACCCCGCTGTCATCACCATTTCCGCCATCACCACCGCTGCTGTATCCATCGCCAGGAGCCTCGCCGCCCTTGCCCTCACCCTCATCGCCGCTACTGCCGCCACTACCCTCGCCACTCCCACCCTCACCCTCGCCGCCCTCGCCGCCACCGCCCTCGCTTTCGTCGCCCACGCCACCGCTGCCCTCACCGCCGCCGCCGTCACCACCGCCCTCGCCGCCCCCGTCCTCACCGCCGCCGCCACCGCCCTCACCACCCCTGCCCTCGTTGCCGCCGCCGCCGCCACTGCCCTCACCGCCCCCGCCCTCACCGCCGCCGCCGTCACCACCGCCCTCGCCGCCCCCCTCCTCAGCGCCGCCGCCACCGCCCTCACCACCCCCGCCCTCGTCGCCGCCGCCGCCGCCACTGCCCTCGCCACCGCTGCCCTCACCGCCGCGGTCACCGCACGTGCCGCCGCCACTCTTGTCGTCTGCAACCCCAGGTTCAGAGTTCAAGGATGTGTCGCGCCGATTCCTGAGCGATGCACAGCTTCAGGTCAAGGGCCACGTCGGCGCACACTGGCACAACTTTGGTGCTCCGTACCTCGTCGATTGGGACGGCGACGGCTGGATGGACATCTTCGCCACCAACCACGTCAAGTACGAGTCTTGCGAGACGCACTGGTGCGCTGCGCCGCTGCCTTCCACCATCCGCACTCAATTGCTGTACTATCTGAAAGCTTGTCCTGCTTGTCAAAATTTAGGGATCTCGCGCGCAATAACGGCGAATGGTTTGATGCTATCACTGGCGCCGTCGAGTACGTGGAGGGTTGGTTTGAGCAGCCCGACGACGATTTGGTCCAAAGGTTCGACGCCCACGGAGGTGCAGTTGTTGACATTGACCGCGATGGGTTGCTGGACCTCTATGTAGCACAGGGCACCAGCCGAGGCACTGACATGACCGAGCATTCCGAGAACGGCCTCTTTTGGGGGACGGCGGATGGCAAGCTCGTTGGCGGGCGGGCGGCAGCCAAGTCGGCCGGGCTCGACTGCCGGGGCTGCCGTGCGTACAACGTGGGCATGCTTGACGTGGACAACGACGGCCTCCTCGACATCCTCTCACTCAATATGGAGCGAAGCGACAAGAACGAAATTCCATCGCGGCTGTGGTTCAACCGACCGACGGCTGGCGAACCGAGACATTTTACATTCGCACCGGAGGTGGCGGTGTACGCCAACGGCGCTATAATGACCGACCTCGACCAGGCGACGGCTAGCCCCCGCTGCAGGCTCTTGCCGAGATTATTGAACACCGTCTCGTGTTGACCATATAGGACGGCTTTGCGCAGGAGCTCCTCGTCACCATCGACGGCTTGCGAGATAGCTCTGGGTCCAGCCAGGACATATTCGTTGCCTACAAGTGGGACCCGGTCTCAGGGCGGCTGGCCGATATCACGCCGGGCTGGTGGCCAACGCTTGAAGCGCCGCACCTAAGATCGTGGTCGCTGCGTGGAGGATATCGACGTGAGCTTGTCTCGGTCAGCACCGGAGACTTCAACGGCGACGGCCTCACTGACTATGCGCTGCTCACGGCAAGCCCTGCGATTCGGCTCACGCGCAGGCAATGCACGCGTCGCACAACGTCGTCGGCGCATTAGGTGGACGGCATCGACTTTCTCTACTCCTCACCCGCCGGACTCCGGTCCGCTGCCGACACCAAGAAGCCCTTCATCGAGGTGGGAGGGGCGCTGCTGGCCGGCTGCAGAGTGGCTGAAGATCTCAAGGTGTCGCCCTCTTCGCCTCAAGACACACGTGCCCCTCGCTCTGTCGCGTACTTCAAACCTCATCCCAGGCGGCCGACTTTAACCTCGACGGCACGCTCGACCTGCTCGTCCTCTGCCGTTTCAACAGCAGGCTGCTAACGCAGAGCGCAGACGGCAGCTGGGTCCGAATGCCGGGCATCTACGGCGATCTCAACGACCCGGCCCGGAAGCGGGAGGATGACGGCTGGCTTGAGGCGTGCTGCGCTGACCCTGTCGTCTGCAAGGCCGCGCATGGGGTCCAGTTGCACCACCTCGCAGCTTTCATCTGTCCGAGGCTAGACGCGGGCGGCAACCGGTGGCAGGGCGTCTCGGTTGTCGATCTCAACAACGACGGCTTCCTCGATCTCATGCCGTGCTCTACGCGCTGCCGAGTCTACCTAAACCGGGGCACCGGCAACTCGTACATCGCCTTCAGGCTCGTCGGCAGTATGAGCAACGAGTACGGCATCGGCGCGACAGTGCTGCTGGCTTGGCGCGCCGAGCCAGCGGGAGCGGTCCGGCTGCAGCTGCGCGAGCTCAACGCCGTGTCGAGTGGCGGCGCCAGCCGGTTCGGCAGCACCGACCACCGGCTCGTCTTTGGTCTCGGCGCCGCTGGCGTGCCGGTGCGCGTAGAGGTCCACCGGCTTCGTCGCGGACCGCCCGAGTGCTCGTCACCGGCGTGGGAGGCGTTCTCATGCCTCCATCAATAGGTGCGCTGGCCATCGGGTAGGGTGGACCTCCTCGACGAGCCGTCGCTGGTTGCGCGCGCAAACTCGATGGATGATGGCGTGATACGGCTGGAAGAGTCCGTCCCAGGCCCTCGACTCCCGCTGACACCGCCCCTTCCGCTGTCGCCACCTTTGTTACCACCGCCCTCACCACCGCCAGGTGCGATCGACACTGCACCGACAAGGACGTAGAGCTGGGAGGCAAGTATTGTGCATGGGCTGGCTGCGGGGCCCGCAGTGCTTCCCATGAGCAAACGCCGGGTCGTCCGCGTCACCAACGCCGCGTCGAACTCATCGGCGCGGGCTCTCTCGGCTACGGGACCGGCCCCAGCTTCGGCTGAGGGCTAACAAGCTGCCGAGCCCAAATCACTGTGGGAGTCGTGATTTCTTGTTGGTTAATAAAAATCTCTCTCTCCCAACGGCAACGCCACACACATCGAGCGCCATCCCATCGTCGTGTGGTGTGCTATGGTAGGTAGAGGTTAGGTTAGGAGGTAAGCAGTCGAGGTAGGCAGGCAGGCCTTTCATCGGGAAAGTGCGCGATAAGGGTTTTGCTCGCCTTCCCTGACCTGAAAAAAAATGCAAAAAATGAAAGCTTGGGATGATGTCACGGGTTTGGTCATTCGACGCCCCGGCCCAGTTATCTCATGATCTCCACTCCTCCGCCCTCCGACGCGTCGCCAGCATCTGCCATACGTGTAATCGCAGCCCTCCTCATCCTTCTCCCTGGCGGCCTCGCCCTTTGGACAACCGGGTTGTCCGCTTGGCAGCGTCAGGACGAAACAGCACGAGACTTCTTTGGCACGCACGTAACCCTCCACGACGAGAGCGACCTCGTTTTCTGCCACAACAACTGGCACTCCAAGGCCAAAGGGTGCACCCCGAACTTTTATGAGCAACCCGGCGCATTCCCACCGCCTCCTCCCTCGCCAACGCCGCCGCCGTTTCTCGCGTCCAGCGCCATGCCGTGCATTACCGCCACGGTCATGCAGCGCAATCCCGACTGCGCTCAAAATCTTGCCTTTCCGGTGCGCCCCTCGCCGCCGCCGCTCTCGCCGCCGCCGCGCTCCAGCTAGCCACGCGAGGCAGCCACAGCCCCACGGCGTGCGGTAGACACTCACGCACTGCACCCTGCTCCCTGGCCCTGCCTCTCGCCCCACGCGCCTCGCCCCGACCCCTGCAGGAATCCCCCTCGACCATCCTCATGTGCACCGACGCCAGCTGCTGGGAGGCGCGCTGACTGTACTGACCGGGCTTCCCCTCCTGCGCCGCCTCCCACCGCTAGTCCAGGCCTCACCCCTACTCCGCGGCCCCGCTCGCAGAAGGCGCTGAAGGGGCCGGCGCCGCCCGTGTGCATGCCCTGCACCACGTTCGGCGTCGGGTTTGTCAACAGCGCGGCTCCCCCAGGCGGTTTCCCCTGGGCGCGCCACGCGCCGCCTTGCTGCGAGAAAGACGTCGGCCGCAGTACCGTCCACCTCGGTGCCTCTGTGGACGCGCACCCTTGCTGCAAGGTCGGCACGAGGAAAGACGGCTCCTGCGTGCCGTGTGGTTCGGTGTGGGACCGGATCGGGTGACGCGTGTGACTTGAAGAAAACACCCGCACCGCGAATAGCCCATCCGCCTGCACGCTCCACGCTCCACGGACCACGCTCCACGCTCCACGCTCCACGCACCACGGACCACGCTGCAGCCACATAAAGAGTGTTTAAGTCGTCAAGGCAGGTTCTTTTGTTTTTTCAAAATGCAAAGAAGATCAATCACAAAATGCCTTGGGGGCAACAGGACGCGGTACAATGGGGTACACCAAAAGGCACGGGCTACCTGCACGGCGTTCACTCGAACGCCATTCATTGCACATGGCGCGGAGCAGCATCGGGCCCGACGGGCCTGCAGGAATTCAAAAGGCACGGGCTACCTGCACGGCGTTCACTCGAACGCCATTGCACATGGCGCGGAGCAGCATCGGGCCCTCGCGAGGAATTCTTTAGCCGGTGGTGCGACGCTCCACGGCGCGCTGGCCAGCGGTCCAGCTTTCCCTGCTACCCCAGTCGGGCAGCCCAAGGTTATGTCGGACACCGTCTATCGGCTGTACCGTGTCCGGCGCACAATCCACCAGATGCTTCGCGACCGCCATTACATGATCGACCAGTCCGACATTGACATGAGCGAGGAGGATTTTGCGCGGTCGTATACGGGCGAGCGCGAGGGGCTGACCATCCAGGCGCAGCGGCGGGACGACCCGACCGACCAGATCTTTGTCTTCTGGCCGACGGACCCGAAGGTTGGCGTCAAGCCAATTAAGCGGTGCGCGGGCGGGGGGACCGGCGGCGCGGCGGCGGCGGTGGCAGCGCCGCCCCGCTTGTGCCGTTTTTTCGACGGGGGTGCCCCCCACGGACAGGTATATGGATCGGATGAACGAGGACGACGTGAAACGGGCCATCCTCGTCGTGCAGCAGAGCCTGACGGCCTTCGCCAAGCAGGCGATCGTCGAGATCTGCGCGCAGGAGGGGACGATCCTCGAGCAGTTCCAGGAGGCGGAGCTGCTGGTCAACATCACGGAGCACGTGCTGGTGCCGATGCACGTGGTGCTCTCGCGCGAGGAGAAGCAGACCCTCCTCAAGAGGTACCGCCTCAAGGAGAACCAGCTCCCGCGCATGCAGGCGCACGCCTCCCGCCTCCCGGCCTCTGCCCTCGCCTCCGCCCCCGCCTCCCGCCTCGCGCCTCCCGCCTCCCGCCTCCGCCACACCAGCCCCAGGCCCGCCCGGCCCGCCGTCGCGCTCGCCTCACGGCCAGCCCTGCCCCCCCAGGTCTCGGACCCGGTCGCCCGCTACTATGGCCTGCAGCGCGGGCAAGTAGTCAAGATCGTGCGGCCGAGTGAGACTGCAGGCAAGTACGTCACCTACAGGCTAGTCTTTTAGAGAGGGGCGCGGGCTCGTATCACGAAAGGGGGGGGGGGGTTGGCGCCGAGCCGCGGGTCGACACATTGTTGTCATGAGGGGGAGCAGCGGCTTGCGCTGCGGCATGTACACCGCGAAGCTACTGATGTCTCGATATACGCATGTGTGTTGACGACACGAGGGGCAAAAATAAGATGTAATCAGCGCGTGCTCCACGCCCCACCGTGGCGCGTGGGCGTGGGGCGCGCGCGGCGGGCCGCCGCCACGCCCCGACACACCGCCGCGAGCGCGACCGCGCAGCGCGCAGGGTCCAGGGACCGCTCCGCCCAGCGCCCACCTCCCCTCCCCCCGCGCACACATACTTACAGTCACGGCTCTCGGGATCATGGTACCGCACGCAAGCACACGAGAAGCTCGGGCGTCAGCTCGGCCTCCCGTTTCTCGTCTCGCCTAGCTCTATGCCTCTTTCCGCTTGTCCTGCTGGGCATCGATGTGTTCCAAGCCGCCGTCATTCCGACGAGGCAGAGCAGGCTCGAGCCGAGCGCCGGCGCGGTGGCGCCGAGCCGTTCGTAGAGCTGCCTGTTCAGAGACGGGGTCTGCGTGTCGGGCCAGCGGAGAGCGCCGGGCCTCTGTGGCAGAGCGGGTTGCCCCGACACCGCCGGCATGAGCACGCCGGCGAGAGCGACCAAGCAGAGTCGCCGATGCCGAGCAGCGATCCGCGGCACTCCGCGGGGCACGCCTCGCCGAGGAGAGCGGTGAGCAACGTGAGCACGCAGCCCACCCCGAGCGTGATTGGCAGGAAGCAGCAGACGAAGACCTGCCGCAGCGGAGGTCGCGGGTGGGCGCGCAGGAGAGGGAGACCTGACGCCTTGGGGGCGGGCGGCGACCGCGTGGCTTGCCGCGGAGGAGGCGGCGAGGGAGCGAGAGGAGGCTGTCAACGCCAGACCCAGCCGGCCCTGTGGGCAGAGGCAGGCCGAGGTGTGGGCGGGAGCGGGAGGTGAGGCCGTGCCAGTGGGGCAAGCAGCGACCTTGAGAGAAGAGGGGAAGGTGGACGGGAGGTGAGAGGGAGGTCAGGCGGCGCACACCAGCGCGATCAAGCCGAGCGCGGCGTGCTGCAGCCTCCGCCGGCTCAGCCGCTGCTGCTGCACGAGACTCGGGACGAGCAGCAGGTTCGAGACGCCAAATTCCCACCCCACGAGCGCAAGCAGGTAGCCTTGCTCTAGCGAGGTGTACCCGAACCGCTGGGCCGTGACGGCCGCGGCGGGGTCGACGTGAGGTAGACAAGCTGCGACGAGGAGAATATTGGCCGTCGCGCAGTGGAGTTTTTGTGTTTTGCATGCGGTTGAGACTTCGGTTTTGGGGGATGTGTTCCGACGAAATGACCGATGTACTTCTTGTGTAACTTGCGTGAATGCGTCGGCCGGGGTTGTGAATGCGTGGCCATTTGGGCTTATCCTGGGGCACTGAGAGTCGGAATCGTTTTCTCTTGGGGGAGCGAACCTCGGCGCCTGCCATCGCTGCACCCCCCAACAATGGCCGCCGAGGGCCTCCCCACCTCGGGAGCAGTGGCAAAGCCCAGCCGCGGGGCACGCGCTCTCCGCCTCGCGCCCGTGCTCGCCCTGCTCGTCTGCGCTGGACTCTTCTACGCGCGCCCGGCAGAGCCGCCGCCGTCCGACATCAAGCTGGCGATTGGCAAGCCTTTTGTGCAGGCGCGGCGCTCCCGGCACGGAGCGAACTAGCCTCTCCCCCTCCCTCCCCCCTCCCCCCCCCCTCCTTTCTATCGGCGTCCACCTTCTCAACATGAGTCTCGCCCCCATCCCCTCGCCACGGCCCAGGGCATTATCGCACTTTTCGAGATGAAGGTCGACCAGATCCGCTTGCAGCAGCCCGAGTCGCAGTGGACCCACTTCGCCGTCGGGATGTACGTCTTCGACCTCCTGATCGACATCCACATGGTGCCCGGCTCCATTCCCGTGCCCAGCCGCAGCTTCTCTCTCCTCGCCAACTCCGCGCGTGTCGGCGGCTCACCGCGCACTCCCTCCCACCACCCACGCACAGGAGCTGCTCTTCTTCGGCGCGCAGGCCACGCTTGGCTCGGCGGAGATCAATCTCTTTTTCCGAGGGGAGCGCTTCGGCACCCTCTCCTCCCGACCCTGCCCGCTCGGCGGCGGCGGCAAGATCAGGACGCAGATGGCGGGCCAACTGGTGGTGGACGACGTGGCTGTTTTCAAGAAGATCGCCCGCGCGGTGGTGCACGAGGACGAGTTCACCGTCGAGCTCTACGCGGTGATCTTGGGGAGTCACTCTCGAGATGGCTAGTCAGAGGAATGTGACGGGCGCGCCTGGCCGCCTAGGTGTTGGCGGTCGAGCTTCGCGGCACAGACCACGGGTGTACTCTCCGCAAGGATATGTGCCAGACAGTTGGCACGCTGCGCATCCCGGGCGTGACCTTCGCAAAGTCGGTCGTGCTCCACGGCGCGCAAGGCTTCAACGTCGAGATGGGCGCCCTCAAGCTCATTGACCTTCCCGCGACCGAGCCGGCCGGCAAGGCGCTACCTACGCTCCCCACTGAAACCTCTTACACCCTCCCCTCCCCCTCCCTCGCCTCCCTATATGTGTATGAGAGCCCTCCCCGCCCACCTTCCTCTGACAAAGGCGCTCATCTCGGTCGACGCGCGTGTGACGAACCCGTCCACCTTTGTGCTGAAAGACCTCGACGTCTTCTCGATCGACATCTATACCGACGACTCGTGGCCAAAGACGGAGCGGCCCGCGGCCGAGTCGCTCGGCGTCAAGTTCGCGGAGGTCAACACCGAGGCCGATTTCGAGCTCGGGCGCGGCCAGTCGGATTGGTTTCAGGTGCAGGGCTTCCTCTCGGTGCCGGAGCGGGAGTACGACCTCGTCAAGACCGCCGACGTGCGCCCAGCGGCTTCATCTCCCCTCCCCACAAACACACCACACCGCGCGGCACGAGACCCCCCCCCTCAGAGCGTGTCTGACACGACTGGCTGCAGGTCCTCAACCACTTCCTCACGTCCCGGCCGACGCCGCTCATCGCCTCCATCGTCGGATCGTCGCAGCCCTTCTTCGCCGCCGCCGCCACGGGCGCCGCCCCGCCGCCCCTCTCCGCCTGCCCTCCTATACGTCACTTCCGACGTCGCCTCCCTCAGTCCTCCCTGGACCCGGTCGTCGCCCGCAGGCACCGCCCTACGCGCCTTCCTGCCCGGCATGACGGACAAGTTCGGCGGCTGCACAAACATCGTCGTGCGCGCCTACATCGACCTCGACATCCCCGTCGCGGTCGCCTCCCTCCTCAACCCGTTGTCGGGCACGACGCTGCGTGCCTGAGCTGTACGTTGCTCGGAGGGGCGCCTCTACCCACGGCCCACGCGTCGGTAGGCACCACGCTGCACCAGTACCTGTACGTCGCCCTCTCCAACCCCTTCGACGCGACCCTCTACGTCTTCGGCCTCGAGGCGGAGGTCTTGTACAAGGACGTCCACGTGGGGCAGGCACAGCACCGCGAGGACAGCGAGATCGAGTCTTGTGCGAGAGAGTTCTTGCCCCCAGCCCTTGGCCCGCGTGACAGCCCGCGCCGCCTCCGCACTACCGCCCAGTGACTATTACTTGTCCGTGCGGCAGGTCTCGCTGCCGCAGCTCTCGCTCGAGCAGGCCATCGTGCTGCCGCCCTCCGAGAACGGCTTCCTCACGCCAAACGCGCGCGCCTCGCGCCCCCCCCCCCCCCCCTCTTCGCCTGCCCGCATGGCGTGCGCATGACGTCCCGTACCTCCCCCCTCCCTCTGTTGCCGCAGGCCTACCCGATCGAGCTCCACGCCACCCAGCTGCCATCCCTCCTCCAGCTGCTCCACGACATCGCCCCCAAGCCCGCCGGCAAGGGCGTCGCCTACGTCGACCTCAACGCGCGCATCCACGCCCGCGTCGGGGGCGCCGAGCCCATCCTCGTCTACAAGCAGGTCAACGTCTCGGCGCAGCTCAAGCAGTTCTCGGGCCTCCCATAGCGGCAGTGGGCGGCAAATTAGCGCGCGGCGGTGGCCCCGCTGCTTTCGCCCAGAATTTAGCGCGGCCGCCCGCGGCGGGAGGGGTCACACTGGAGAGGCAGAGGGGGAGCGAGGCCGGCGCGATGAGCCGGCGGAAGTGGCAAGCTAGTGTGGGGTGGCAGCGGTAGAGCTAGAGGTACAGTGAAGAGAGAGGACTGGGTCCCTGCCGCCCTGGGGCGTGGGGGTGGCAAAAATGAGCCGGCGTCGCTATTTAGGGCTTTAGCGCCCGTCTCTACGTCAGTAACTCTATACACAAGTCTACAGCTGCCAAGGCGCCTTGTAGCGCCACCCGCCACTGCTGCGTGCTGGCGTCTGGCGGCTTGGCTGTCAAGGAGACGTGGGTGCGATTGATTTGTGTCTCTGTGTGCGAGCGCAGCTTGTGTGATGTGTGTTGTGAAACAGCAGCGCCGCCCCCGCATGGCCGCCGCCAGCAATGCCGCCGCCAGCCGCCGCACCCAGCCGCCGCCGCCAGCTGCGCCAGCACTGCAGCGACCTCTTCTGCCCAGGCGCCGCCGCCACGAGTGTCACCGCCGCGAGTGCCGCCGCCGTCAGCGTCGCCATGGCCGCCGGCGCCGCCGCCGCCACACAGGCGGGCGAGAGAGGAGCTCCATAAGTGTGTGTGGTGGTTGCTAGCGGGGAGTGGTTTCCTGTACGGTTACTTCCCCCAGGATTGGTCTTCTCTGCCTGCGGGAACACCCTCGGGCGGCCGGGTGGGGCTGCGGCTGGAGCTAGCATGGCTCGATAGAGCCGAGACCCCGTGTTGAGGCGGCGCTCCTGTGGGCGGCTGTGGAATCGGCAGATTCGACCTCAGATCTCCAGTATTCTCATCCCAGTGGATGGACGTCCGGACGTCCCTTTGTGTTCCTCTCCCCGTCCGCCAGCGAGACGCTCAGTCGCTGGCGGCCGCAGTTTTCTGTGAGGTGGGAGGAGAGGAGAGGACAAGTGGAGATGGCGCAGCAGCAGGCTCCGCCAGCTGCGCTGGCTCCCATCGCCGTCGTCGTTGACGAGGTTCAGATCAACAGCGACGCAATGCTCGTTCTCGCTCCAGGTGCTCAGCACGTAAGGGACCACACGTCTTTCTTGAATTGGGCTACCGTGTACAACGGTGCAGCAGCAGTGGCCAGCTACACCCTGGGGCAGAGCGACGCCAAGGGCGCCTTCCTGCCGAGGTGCCAGTTCAGCGGGGACCAGCAGACAGGCACCCTCCTCGATGGGAATCACGTTCTCAATGTGTTTTTCAACGGAGCATTCTGGTCGCGGCTCTTGACCGCTCTGGATGCTGCAAACCTCTTCGCCACCTCCATGGAGAAGATCGGCGTGCTGCACCAGCGGCTCGCCGACCTGGTGATGGCCAACCCGGGTGTCTGGAGGATCGCGCACACAGACATTTTTCTTGGTGAGGACTTTGACGCGCCCGCCGTCCCAGCGGTGGCCGCGGGGAGAGGCCGAGGCCGGGGTCGAGGAGGCCCGGCTGTGGGGCAGCAGTCCCTGCTATGCCCGGACCGCCAGACCTGCTCTTCCTCACGCACCTCCCGCTTCACGCGCTCGAGGTGGACGGGGAGCTGCCTCTGCTCTCGTACTCGCTGCTCTCTTTCTGTCTGGGGCCGACGGCTACGAGGGCGGCCCGCCTTCCTCTGGCGGCCCCTGCGCGGATCATAGCCGGCCTTCTTCAAGGGGCTATTGTGCAGAGCTTCGGGACGGCGGCCGCCAACCCGGCGATGCTCGCGCTCCAGATCCCTCGCCTGCTCAAGGGCTCCTCGCTCCCCGTCCTCTTTCAGTCCACCGCCTCGGACCCGTACACAAGGCTCGAGGACTTCACGGACATGCTCCGCATGCAGTCCGGTGGTGCAGATGAGAGGCGGCGCATCGAGGAGAGGCGGATCAAGCTCGCCACCTCTCTGGGCGCGCTCTACCAGCTGGTCATCCAGCCGTCGCCTTCGGCCCAGACTGCGACCACTCTGGTGAGCCGCCTGGCCGCCAAGATTCTGACTGCGCCCCAGCTCAAACTGTCGCTCGCGGACCAACTTGCCATCCTCTCGGCAGTCGTCCATGATCGGCGGCATCTTGTCCAAGCCGGAGCTTCCGCGGAAGACGCGGTCACCGCTCTGATGGCGGAGAACCTCCTCTACGACGGGGGGCGAGTCCCGGGCGGACCTGCCCCGGGTGCTGACGGCGGGCCTGATGTGTCTGCCCACGCTCTCCCGAGCCGCCTCATCGAGAAGGCTTCGATGCTGCCCAAGTTTCAAGCGCTCGCGGGCGCAATCGCGGGACTGGACACCGCCAACTCCGAAGTCAGGCGCCAAATCCTGGCAGCCTCGTTCGCAAGTGGGAGCGACATCGTCTTCCGAGTTGTCCTCGGGCCTGGGGGCCGCGAGGCCAGGATGAATGCGACGCTCGCCAAGATTGCCCACTGCAAGGTGGAACTACCCACCTATCTCACATGGTGCCTGGTGGTCGGCAGCGGCGGCCAACGCCAAGAGGAGCTCGGGAGGTACCACCTCACGGGCCTCGACGGCACAGAAAACCGCCTCTTCAAGTCGTTCATATCGGGCAATCTGGTCGGCACCGACTACATGAATGGCCCGAACGGCGCGCTGGACTGGGTCGGCTCAAGAATCCGGCACAACTTCCCACGCGTCCACCCAAAGGATCTTTACACCATCCGAGACAAGGTCCGCCACCTCGGCGCGTTCCTTAATAAGCTCTTCGTGGGCATCGGCTTCCTGGAGGCAGTCCCAGCTGGTGAAGGCTTCACCATGAAGACGTGGTTTGAGTTCTACATAGAGCAGCGCTCGACCTCACCAGCTACTACACGCTCTATGAGCGAAAGTGCAATCACCTTTATCAGTGCAGCCGGCAGATGGGGGCCTTCCTCCGCCTCGCCGAGATCGCCGTGGAGAGCCTCAAAACGAGGTCGCACCCCGGCGAGGAGGGATTTGGGGCGCTCGCTCCCGAGGACTGCCAGCCGGCAAAGATCCTCCGCGGCCGAGTCGAAACTGCTACCTGGCGGAACGCGGCGGAGCAGCTTGACGAGGCTCCTATCAGGCCGGTCACAACCTGCGACGGAGATCTCTTGCCGTTGCTTTCGGAGTGGGAAAACCACCCGTGGGACAACCGCCAACCGGGTAAGCTGCCCAAGCCCAACCCAGCACGGCGAGGCGGCCCCTCCGCCAGCTGCGACGGTCGTCATGGGGGTCAAGTGGCAGCAAATGGAGCGGAGGTAACCTGCGCGTCTGGCCGAAAACGCCGCCATGAACAGCGGCGCGAGCGTCAGCGCTACCAGGGCGCATCATCGTGAGCGGTCGGGCAGCGGCTACACAGCCCGGCTTGTGTCGATCGTCAAGATATCAATGGACGCACTCAAACTCCATCGTGTCTGGAGGCACTCAAACTCCATCGTGTCTGGAGGCACTCAAACTCCGTCGTGTCTGGAGGCACTCAAACTCCACCATCGTGTCTGGAGGCACCATCGTCACGCGGCGGTCGGGTGGCGGCTACACAGCCCGGCAGCGTGTCAATCACATCGGAAGCTCGCGGCACCGCATAGCGGACGCGCGAGGTACCGTAGTTGCTGGTGTCGGACGCTCGCGGCACCGCACAGCGGACGCGCGAGGCACCGCCCAGCAACAGGCGACGGAAGGAGGCTCACGGCACCGCGCAGCGGACGCGTGAGGTACCATCCTCGCTGGAGACAGACGGACGCTCGCGGCACCGCATAGCGGACGCGCGAGGCACCATCGGTTTCCATACACAAGCGGAAGCTCGCGGCACCGCATAGCGGACGCGCGAGGTACCGTCATCAACAGCGGCGCGGCGAGGCAACTCGGCGCGTCTCTCAAGGGTGGGAACCTCTTATCACCATCGGCATCTGTTCGTCCTCATCTGCGTTTGCATCACGGCTGTATTGGCGATCGTCAACGCCATGACATAATCGCCATCATCCTCATGCCCAGCTTGCGCGTAGGGAGGAGGAGGCTGCGCTGCGCAAGCACGGGCGGGAGGGGCTTCTCCTGCGGAGTCGTGCGTGCGCAGGGCTCCTCTTTGCTTTCTTCTACTCCCTACTATCATCTCGTTCCCGTCCTACCAGAGAAGGTTACTTCCCCCAGGATTGGTCTTCTCTGCCTGCGGGAACACCCTCGGGCGGCCGGGTGGGGCTGCGGCTGGAGCTAGCATGGCTCGATAGAGCCGAGACCCCGTGTTGAGGCGGCGCTCCTGTGGGCGGCTGTGGAATCGGCAGATTCGACCTCAGATCTCCAGTATTCTCATCCGGGGA